TATTCTGTTCTGCAAAGCTACCTGTCTAATCTGTTCTTGCTCATAATTAACCAAACTGATGGCAAGTCCTGTGCTATTAAAGGCATCGTCAATAGTATCAATTAAAAGATTTAAATTAGTTATCATCATTCCCACCCCCACCATTGGAAAGAGAGAGACCCAAAACTGCATGTTTCTATCCATTTTAAATCCTGATAAATCGGTGTCTCGCTTTTGCCAATGATGATGGGTGTTTTCAGGTAAAGTTTTAGTAGGGTAAATGGCGGGCATCACCATTCCCAAGGTACAATCAATTTTAATTTTACATGGGAGTTTTTTATAGCCCTTCTCCCACAAAGCCAATAAAATCATCTTGAAGGGATGGGGTGGATAATACAGCTTACATTAGAACGTTTAAATTTCAAATAAGTACTAAACACTCCTGTACCTACTATTTTATGCCACCATCGACTTAGAGACTCTGCCTCGCCTTCTCCTAGGACATACTTCCATCTGCCCCGGGTCTTTTCTCACTATTGCCTGTCCCATTAAAATAGTCAAAACTCCATCCTGTGTAAAAAGAAGATAATGCCATGGTATTTACATAACTGCTAGGTCGGATATTCGGTTGATAGTTACAGTCAGTGTAGTATTTTTGATAAACATTAATAGTCACTACTTCTTCTGAATCATCAGGGTATTCCCATTCCCCCATGCGCAGTTTAACTGCACCTGGTCTGTCCCGAGTATCTTCACTTAAGAAGATCCTGGGGACCGCACTTGTGTCATTTCTTATTAGAAAGTCAAAACCAACATTATGTCTGATGATATACAGCAAGTCTTTTTTCATCAATACTTTAGGGAAATAGGGGTACCCTCTGTCATGAGCATGTGGCGTATGGCCACACACCCAACATGGCTTACATAAATCCAAGCTCTTATATACATTAGCTGCTGCCTTAATAAAGTGATTGTGTTCTTCCCAAGGCGAGAGGTGTCTGTCTGATTTAGGGGTGTCATGACAGGTGTATAGTCGCCATTTTGGGCAGTCGGAATCCAGGACGACCACCCCATAACCTAACCCAATAACGCACATACTAGAGGATATGGGGAAATATGTCCACAGCTTTATTTAGCAAACAATAATAATAACAATAATAATAATAATAATAGTAATAACTTAACAAGTAAACATGGGTCATTGCCCCCCATACTCCGCCCTCGCATCCTATTCCTTCCGTTAACATATAAAGGGCAATGACGCCCATATAAATAAACATATATATATAACATACATCAACATTATTCCAATCGATGTAAAGTGCCAACCATCCATTAACCACGGCAGGGGTATACCCGGATACCCCTACCCCACCAGGTTCTGAGCCACCGACAGGACTCGAAACCTATCAACCACCAATGACCACCACTTGTTTGTCTTCCATTACGTTCATCCTGGGGAGCCTATTTCCTCTCCTTCAGCTCCCCGTCCCGCCGCTGTGAAAAAACGGGACAAAACCACACATAACAAAACAGGGAGGGTGGGTGGGACAAACTTAACCAGGTAGGAAGTTAGAATGAATTAACTAAAATGGCTGCCCATTTAAATAACCAAACCCACTTACCCATAACTCCACTCCCTTGCTTACTTCCTCCTAGGCCCGCCTCCTAACCCCTGTCAAGGCCTTTTTCCGCTTAGCTGCGCTTGGCTACATGGGGCTACAGAACATGTCCTTTGAATTTTTAAAAGTAAATACCAAAAGGTATCAGGGGTGCTGTTAGTGCAGCAGTAGGTTGCACCACTATTCTCTACAATAGTGTATGTTCGCTTTGTGCTTTGCTCATTTGCGTAACCTACCCAATATTGGGTAAGTTCTTCTAGAGTAATATTAGAGTCAATATGTGTATATAGTATGCGGCAGCCAAAAGGTGTTGCAGATTCTAGCGTCAACATATCAAATGAATCATGCGGCAGCTTAATATAGTTCATCGCCTCAGTGTCATTGTGGCTAAAATAGCCTTCTCCATATAGGCTTGCCCTTATGTTTGGACAGTCATTAGTCAGTCAGGTTACTTGTATCTCGATCTCTTTCCACTTCATTTCTGCGGAATCACTCTGGTCCCAACCTCCAATCTCGTTGCTGGTATCTGAACCGACCAAAGGGCGTAGAGTAAGTGCAGTCATCACAATAACAGCCAGACCAATGAGCTTTGCCTGTAAAGATACAACTCATCTTACTCTCTCAAATAACATTTGCCCGAAGGCACGTATTCCCATTTATCTTGTCCTGACTTGGAGAGTATCACAGTGTTGTCATTGCCTGTTGCAATAATGTCTGCTGGTTCTGGGGGACCTTTCTCAGTCCTCACCCAGACTTTGGCCCCTGGATTTAGGTTAGTAGAGCCAAATCCCTTATCACCTCTTACTGTTTGTAAGGTGGGGGCTGTTCCTTTATTTATCTGTCCCTGGTAAATGTGGATGATAACCAGTTGGGCTATTCTGTCCCCTTCTTGCACTAGCAAGTCTTGTGGCCCCTGATTTAACAAAAGGATCTTTATTTCTCCTTGGTAATCTGCGTCTATAACCCTTCCCATTACGTGTATCCCTTTAAGGGCGAGGCTAGACCTAGGTGCAATTAGTCCAAAGTGTCCCTGGGGTATCTGTATTCCTATACCTGTGGGGAACATCTGAACTTGCCCTATTTTAAGTCTTTCTTCTTTTCTGGCTCGCAAGTCTATTCCTGCAGCCTCTGGGGTAGCCCTGTATGGGGCCAGAGCTCCCTCTTCTATTTCCCAATATGTGATGGTGTTGCTTGTTATATAAGGTTTAGCTTGTATATTGGGTGCAATCATTCTAGTGAGGGCATTGTCATGGTCTGAGAGTGGCCTATTGTTCAAGATGTTTACAGCTGTAGGCAAGTTATCTCTCCATTTGTGCATGGTCCCTTCACCAAGTTTCCTCAATTGTTGTTTCAATAACCCATTCATTCTTTCAATCAGACCAGCTGCTTGAGGATAGTAGGGTATGTGAAATATCCATTCAATATTGTTTTCATCACAAAAGTCTTGTACCAGTTTTCCTTTAAAGTGACTTCCATTGTCACTCTGAATTTGTAATGGAAGACCATAGTATTGTATTATGGTTTCCAGCATTTTAATAGTATTTATTTGGATAGCCCTCTTGCAAGGGTGGACCAATAAATACCCTGAATATGAATCCACAGCCGTGCATACATATTGACAATTTTTACTCAAAGAAAGTGTACCTATGTAATCCACCTGCCATATTTGCCCTGGGGCTTTTCCTCTTTTTATTTGACCTCTAGCTTTGTGTGTCTGTCTATATGCAGTAAGTATAATCCAACTTCTTTTCTGCCACTTATCTTTTGGAATCTTTGACAAGCAAGCTAGAAGGTCAGTAGGCATGTCAATTTCACTTTTTTCACATTCATCATTGCATTTGCCAGCGGAAAGGGCCCATTCCCTGGCAATCAATGCATATGGCTCATCTTCCCATCCGGGAATGATGGCGTCATCACCCTGTTTCTTATTCTTTTTAAACATCGTGCAAAGTTCCTGTGGTTATTTCAGGGAAAAACTTTCACTCAAGCCTGCCCAGATGACTATTCTGGCTGCAGGCTTGCACTCCCCGAACACACTGACGCTCTACACACTCCGTGGAGTGTATAGGGACAGCTATGATCAAGCCAACAATCTCACACTTTCAGGAACAGCCGTTTTCTTCACTTCCTCAGTCAGCACTGGCTTCCAGCACCCGTTAAGGTGCGTAGGGGCACTTGTTAACTGACCAAACACAATCACTCATTCGTGTCAGAATCACCCCAAACAATCTTGTGGTTTTGGTGATCTTATCCCAATACCTGGTATTGTGCTTATTAAATTAGCAGCAATTCAGCTTCATCCAGGACGCTAACCTGTTTGAGGGTAACGCTCCCCAGAAGGCACTGGCCTTCTACACACCTTTAAGATGTATAGGGGTGTCTACCAACTGAGCACAACTTGTATTCTTCAATCAATCTTCAGAAACACTCCTCAATCTTGTTAGATCGAGCATTCACTCACCAATCTTGCTCTTGCAACATCATGCAAACATTTTCAAGTTTACACAATGTTCAAAGAACCTGTAGAAACCATAGTGCTTGTTTTCTAAGCTTAGAATCTCTATAGCATACTTTGCTGCAGCGCACAGAAGAAATTGACAGCTTGCAAACGGCTTTTTTCCTCTGTGACGCAGCAGAAATTAGACCTTGTACAATGTTAGTTTCACTTTTACTGTACACACAATTTGTCTAGGCAGTTCTAACAATCTCTAACCACAATTTTCTTATCTTACTTAAACAGTTCTAACGAATTCTAAACACAATTTCCTTGTCTTAACTATACTTAACAACTCTTTTAAACAATTTCAAATTATTGATTTCAAGTTTCTTTGCTCAATTAACACTCATCCCATTCTCGTCGCCAAAATGTTGTGCCTAATCATTAAATTCATGAAGCACCAATATCCAAAAAGTAATAATCAATTACCTAATAAGATTTATAGCGATATTGGTGGGCACACAACCCAGTTCGAGATGAGCGTCTTGGGCTATTGGAAAAAGAAACCACACAGAGACCAAATTGCAGATCAGAATTCACACCACACTTTATTTTCCACAAGGGGACCCAATACAGAGTAAGCTTAAAGGACCACTCTAGGCACCCAGACCACTTCAGCTTAATGAAGTGGTCTGGGTGCCAGGTCCTTCTAGGGTTAACCCATTTTTTCATAATTATAGCAGTTTCAGAGAAACTGCTATAATTATGAATGGGTTAAGCCTTCCCCCTAATCCTCTAGTGGCTGTCTCATTGACAGCCACTAGAGGCGCTTGCGTGCTTCTCACTGTGATTTTCACAGTGAGAGCACGCCAGCGCCCATAGGAAAGCATTATGAATGCTTTCCTATGTGACCGGCTGAATGCGCGCGCAGCTCTTGCCGCGCGCGCGCATTCAGCCGACGGGGCGGATCGGAGGAGGAGAGAAGGAGGAGAGCTCTCCGCCCAGTGCTGGAAAAAGGTAAGTTTAAACCCCTTTCCCCCTTCCAGAGCCGGGCGGGAGGGGGTCCCTGAGGGTGGGGGCACCCTCAGGGCACTATAGTGCCAGGAAAACGAGTATGTTTTCCTGGCACTATAGTGGTCCTTTAACTCTCCTTAAGTAGTTGCATGCATTCACTTCAAAACAGCTTAGTATCTAGATATATCAGCTTAAGTATACATCACCGTTAGAGGGGCTTGTGTCCTCTGCACTTGACTGGGGGAAAACTCTGGCAGTCGGCTTGGAGGGATCCTCTCTGGGAACAGCAGAGACCAGCAACAGGCGTCCGCATTACAGGTGGGTAGTTCTCCAAGTGAGTGCCAAGTTTCTCCGTCTTTTATACTTTTTATCAAGTTTGTAACTTTTCCAAGATTTCTTATCAGTGCAGCCCAGCATGTATCTTGTCAAGTAATCAGTATGGTTGATCAGGCCAGTCGTGACCACCCAAGGCTCATTCCAGACACGTGCGGTATCTTATTCTATCTATGTCCCTACTCTTTCTATACATTTGTTGGCACCAATTCCCTCTGTTCAGCATGTGGGCCTTTTTTGGATATTGGCCAGATATGCTATGGAATATTCCAGGGCCGGTGCAAGGATTTTTGGGTACATAGGCGAAGATGTATCTTTCCGCCCCCCCCCAAATAACATCTTCACCTATGTGCCTCTTAACCAGCCCCTCTCCCCGTCCATTAGTGGTCCCCTCCCTTCCCTGTCCCTTAGTGTTCTTCTAAGCTCTCCCCTCTTTTTCCTGTCCCTTGGTGTTTCTCTCCCCTCCCCTCCCTGTCCCTTGGTGCACCCTCCACCCCCTTAGTGGTCGCACTCCCCTTCCTGGTGTGCCTCCTACCTCTCTTGTAGCATTGCCGAGTGGAGGATATCCCCTACAGGAGCTTCAATTTTCTGTACCTGGCCAGACTGACAGGGAGTGCTCTCTCAGTGAGCACCTCCGGTCAGTCTGGCCGGGTACAGGAAACAGAAGCTCCTGTACTGCGCTTCGCCACGCTACACTCAGTGGTGTATACACACTGACAGTCACACAGACTCAATGACAAACACACAGACTCATTGATCTGACACACACTCATTCATTGACAGACACACTGATACTCACACACAGACTCAATGACAAAGATACTCTCACTGATTTGACAGACACTCACACACACACACTGACAGACACACATACACTGCCACACTCATACACTCACATGCAGTACTCATACAAGCACTCACAGACACACACACTCATACAATCACTCACAGACACACACATACACTCACAGACACACTCACTCACAGACACACATACTCATGCACACAGTCACTCACAGGCACACATACACTCACACACATACACACACACACAGTCACACACAGTCACACACAGACACTCACACACAGACACACACTCAATCACAGACAGTCACTCACAGACACACAGTCACTCAGGCACACATACACTCACACACAGACACACACACAGTCACACACAGACACACACTCAATCACAGACAGTCACTCACAGACACACAGTCACTCAGGCACACATACACTCACACACAGACACACACACACACACACAGTCACACACAGACACACACTCAATCACAGACAGACAGTCACTCAGGCACACAGAGACACTCACACACAGACAGACACACACTCAATCACAGACAGTCACTCAGACACACAGTCACTCAGGCACACACAGACACTCACACACAGACAGACACACACTCAATCACAGACAGTCACTCACAGACAAACAGACACGCATACACACACTCACTAATTATTTTAATAAATAAACATTTTCCAC